ATGACGGCAACAGTTTTCGACCAGAAAGCTAATGTACAGTTCCGGTAAATACTGTTCAAGCATAAAAATATCCATGATGTTGTATAGAGTCTGTTGCCTTTTGCTTGCCACCTTGAGCCGATTCATTCTACATCACCGTGTTCAGACATATAGACAAAGAGGAAGGGTCTTGAATGACCTTCAGGAGAAATATTAGCTTCAGAAATCTGCAGAGAGAAACAAAGAGAGAAAGAGAACAGCTGGAGAGAGGAGAGGGGAAGAAAATAAGTCGGGGAACAGCTATAATTTTCCCTCCTCTCACCCGGCACTCATTAAAGTTTTGTTTTTTTTCTAATTTGGGCAGCTATCTCCTCCTCTGTCAGCCTTCCTCTTTACAAACCCCCACATGGTTCAGTCCAGGCATTTGTGTTTGTTTTTTTCTCTTTTACTGTATAATTGTTGTTCCTTTTCTCTCCATCCTTCTTCATTCTGTGTAATTCCTCAGTTATCGAAGCTGCTTTTCTTCCATCCGTCTTCCTTTAGTGCTTTTTCTGATCTCATTTTTCTCTTTGCAATTTTCCGTTCACTTGATTTAAGGAGAGGTTGCAGGTAAAACAAACAAATGAGAGCTGGCATGCGGCATATTTTTCAAACTATAACTCAAACATATTTCATCTGATCCTGCTACTTAGTCAGAGTCATCTATTAAAACACATAAGCGACACTGGACAGGGGAAACGGCAGTCCCGGTCACTAGACGGCATTTATAAATCATAAATACTGAATGTCAACAATACAAACCAAGAAGCAGAGCATTTATATCCTAATTAATTCAGCTCAATCTCATTCATTTCAGTAGCATCAGTTCACACCAAAGGACAAGTCAGCTTTCTATACGCGAAGAAAGAAAGAGATTCAATTCAAATCAATACACTGAATCATTCCAAAGTCATCTTACCAGCATGTCTCCTATTTATTTATTTAAATACCAATGCACACCAGCAGACTCTGTGGAAAGTCTTGAGTGTGTTTGCAATACACACAGGAGCCAAAGTAGCATGTACACAATAAAAAGAAGAAGAGGCGTAATGGCGTTGGCTGTAAACAAAACCTGACCTGAAACAAATCAGAGGCAAGCTGACGACGTTACTGTTTTCTCCCTTAACTTTTAACATAAATTCAGTTTGACTTTCTCCATCAATATCATTTTGAATATGCCTCTATTAAGTCCTATCATCTGTTTCCCGCTAACCATCTTTAGAACAAGTCCGTCCCTTATTGCTTCCATCCCTGTGGAACTGAAGTGCATCCATCCCATCATCAAGAGCAACCTTCCCACCTCCAAAGGTCACCCACAGCTGAACGGATCGATGGTTTGGGAGCAGGAAGTGTGGACGAATGAGAAAACAAGAGAGAGACGGAGGGAGGGAAAGAGAGAGAGAGAGAGAGAGAGAGAGAGAGGAATGAGTGAGTGGTAGCCTTGATGTGACAGAAGTATTGAAGGTGAAGTCCGGCTGGAAGAGGAGATGGACGAGGAAAGGATTTAAGGGGAGAGGAGGGAGGGAGAAAATAAAACTCTTGCATCAGCATTCCTGTACGTCTCTGTTTGAGAGATGGAGGAGGAGAGGGAGAGAGAATGGGAGATGATAATAAATGGGGAGAAATAAATTAAAAGAACACAGGAGGGGAGCCGTGGGTGAGCGATGGGAGGAAAGAAAAACGGGCAGAGAAAATGAGGAGCGGTGAACAATGTCAGCTTAATTGAATTCATTATCGATAATGTATGTTTTACAAGGTATGTGCGTTAAAGGTCAGTGTTCAGAAATGGCTCATGATGGTTTGAGATAGTGTGAAGCCAATCTGGAGCACTGAAACAAAGCACCTAGACTTCATTTCATTACATATGCAGCTACATGTTTGATGGATCTCCACGGAGCCTGAAATCCTGTTTGCATCATGCAACTCCAATCCTCCAACAATCTGAACTGATCCTCAAGAAAGAAGCAGCAGAACCTGCTCCAATCGCAGTCCAGCCCGGCGGAGGAATCCACTTCATGTGGACTCCCTCTCAGAGCTGATTCATCAAAAGCTGCAGGCAGACCTCTTCTTCTTCTTCTTTTTTTTTTAGTCTCTCCAGTTCCAAGTATAACATTCACAGCCTAGAGGTGCAGCTCCATGCGCCTCTGCTTCTTAAAGAATATCGATATCAGTGCAGACTGTGGGCTGCTGCTGCCACATAGTCAATAATTCAGCAGCCAGTCTTACCACTGTGAAGTTTAGGACCTTCATTGTCTGCGTGTTTACATGGTACTTGTGTTCACGTGGGTCAGAACCGGTCTGCTTACCCTTACTACAATCATCTCTGTGTATCTACTTCATCTCTCTCTTTATTTCCAAAACATATCTCTGTTGTCTCGCCTTGATTAGTCATAGTTTCTGCTTTGTGCCATGCAAAGTGTTCACACCCTTTGAAGTGTTTCGCCTTCCGTCTCATTGCAACCACAAACCTAACTCCAGTTGTTCTGTGAAAGGTCTCGGAGGTCTGGGAGAAAGTTATTGAGAAATTTAAAGCAGAGTCAGATCACAACACGATGTTTGAAGCTTTAAGCATCACAGAGCTCTGTTCCAGCCATCATCTGAAAATGGAAAGAGGGCGGAGGAACAAATCTACCAACCATTTGTGGCGTCAACTGAGCTAAACTGGACAGGATCATTAATCAGAGAAGAAGTCCTGATTTTGTGGTTTTGGGACATGACAAACATGTGGAAGAAGAATTAAGAAGTAAACCTTTAGGCCTTATTGTAAAAGACCATGTGTGCCGTGACTCAGCCTGCATCCCCACAGTAAAACAAGACAGGGAAACTTTTCTTCAACAGGGACATGGACCTGCTCAGAGTTCACAGGAACAAAACCTGTTTGAGTCTTCAGACTGGAGCGTAGATTCACCTTCCAGAAAACAGCTACCCTAAACATACAGCCATAAATACAATGGGTGGTTTAGATTTCATAAAAATGTCATGTTAGAATGGCCCAGTCAAAGTCCATGTATAAATAAAATTGAGTATCAGTAGCAGGGCTTGAACAGAGGTACTTTCCATCTAATATGTCTAAGCTATTCACAAATTTCTTTTGAAAACATACAAAAACAAAAAAACTATTTGACTAAAAAATCTCAGATGTTTTCAAAGAAACACTTTGAACTATGTGTATTTTTTCTTCTGATTCAGTTATGCAACACCCGTGTTGCTCTGTCACACGAGGTCCCAACAAAATACACCGACATTTGAGGTTTCCGATGAGGGAAAAAAATGTGAACGCTTCTTGCAGAGCACGGTAGCTGCACTGTGTGTCCAAATGGTGAAAAACGGATGAGTGAGAATTTCCACTGCAGATGAGCCTGAACACAAACTCTGAATCATCATTTTTCAGGGCAAGGAGGGTGAGAGGCTCCTTCTTAGAAGGGATTTTGGACGTTTGCTCAACAGACAATAAACAGACGTGTGGAATGAAACGGCCTAGTCACACACCGTGAGCTAAGAGCCAGAAAATACTCCAGCAAATCAGTCATTTAGTTAGTCAACAAAAAGACACGACAAGACGAAAATAACCAGAGCACATTGGCTTTGATGAAGCTGCTTAATGTGCATGGACAGCTTTAGATACGTACTATAGTGAGGATCTAAGGCAATGCAATATCGCATTGCTTTGGTTAGGGATTTAAATGTGAACGCTCTCATAAAATATCTAAAACAGCTTTATTCTGCACAAACTAAATGCTTTTAAAAACAAAGATTAAACCATGACAACTAGTTTTACACATGTTGGTGAAACTCAGCAATAAAAGTAAAAGCATACGGATCCAATTCAGAGTATCAGCTATTTGTCTTGAGAGAAGCACATCAAAAGCAGCCGAAAGGCAAATTAATAACATTTTACAACGTTCAAAGAAAAAGTACTGGCTTTATGAAATGGAAGGAGACCTGTTTCTGGAAGCTTTGTCAGTTCACTGTTGGCTGGAGCCACACTGAAAAATGCTGTTGAATTAGCTTAAGAGTTTGGGCAAAGCACCTCTGGCTTCTTTCCATAATCAATAGAAGACACTAAATTCTGCTAATAAGTGACCAATGCAGTAAGGGTGAGGGGGTGAAAATGTCTGCAATGAAAATATAGTCAAAATTGCCAAAGGTAGATATCAAATGAAGGCATGTGTGTGTTGTACATCCCTCTTGGCTGCCCTACATCCATAAACAAGAAGAAACTTTATGAATGCATTGTGGGAACACACAGTTCACCCAGACAAAAGCAGCCAAACCCAGATCAGCTGCCAGAAACCCAACCATCCAATTCTGACCCACATCGGGGGGCCTCAGCGAGGGCCATCAGGCCAGCACAGATTGTGGAAAAGGGACACTGAGCAGAAAAAAAAAGCATGAGAAAAAGAACATGGCAACAAATTGTCTTCAGTCTGAAAATTTCAGACTGATCAGAAACAAAAGCAGGAAGTCTGGCAGAATAAATCCTATCAAGCGGAGCGTGACATCAATTGGGTTTTGTTCATCTCCACATTGGCCTACTTCGTCATCCAAGTTGCCACTTTAGTTTTCAATGCAGTGTTTTCCTGGACACACTTGGCTAAGTAAAAAACTCCCCCGAGCGATGGCAGAGAGGCAGAGATGAAATGAACACAAGACGCGATCAGAGCCAGAATCCCCTGAGGCTCCGAGACAAAATAGGCACAACAAGCATAGTTTTCAGAGACCTAAGTGAATGGGAGGATAAATCAGGATCCTCCTGAGCTGAGTGTTTAAATAAAATGTTTAGATCAGACCTCAAATAGATGTTGGACTGTAGCCGTATGATGCATCTTAACAGGAAATGTCCTATAAATAGCTCAGCAGCTCAAATCTGTTCTTTATCAAAACACTTGGTGGAGCATCAGATCGCCTGCATGCATATAAACGGGGGTCCATCACAAAACAGCAGTTTTTGTTCTGGACCAGTGGAAACCTTTTAATCTGACCTTGTCCAGCTCCTGCTGCAGGACTTGTTTGGCGACCTCCAGGTCCTGCAGCCGGACTCGGAGCTCTTCGTTCTCCTGCTCCAGCCGACTCCTCTTCTTCTCCACGCTGTCCAGCTGGCTATGGATTCGGATGGAGACGTCCTTCGCCACCTGAGGAGAAGGGGAATGAGAAAAAGTTATAGCTAGCTAGTGAGTAAAAAAAAACTGCTTAAAATCTTAAGGAATAGAAAAATAATACACTTTACCTTACTTTAGATTAAGAAAGAAAGACATATCTCTTTGGCAAAATAATTTGTTTTAATAATTACTCTCGAAATGCATTACAAGCAAAATTACAGGAGTGTCAAAAGAGACACTGATCATTCATAAAAATGGGGCATTTAATTCACAAGCCATTATTTGACCAGTTAATCTGTCATCAGAGCCAATTCAGGGATTTTTGTCAATTCACTTTAAGACAAAAATACTTTATTAATCTCAAAGGAAAATTAAGCATTGCTCCAGCTCATAGAAATTTCTTGAATGAGTCAGTGTAGATGCATAAGGCATTAAGGATCTCCTGCAACAGTCAGTCTCACAGCGGTTCTGGAAAAGCCTCTGACTGAAGACACTCTGTTGCTCAGGGTTGTTCATTGTTTTTCTTATATTTTATGAAGAATAATTTTTAATACAGTCACCCCCAGAGGTTTCAGAGCCGTGTCCAGAACAGAACAGAACTGACGGCAGACGAGATTACGCTCTCCACCACAGCTCGATAACTGATGGGTAAACAACTGATGTACTGCTAAATATTAGCTGTAATTACAGCTTTATGCTCATTCACGTAATAGAAAGACCACAGCAATAAAATTAACACCAAATGAAAAGTTTGTTCCGTAAAGAAGTTGATTGTTATGGTCAATCAGTTTTTACTTTTTATATGTTCCAATTTATGTTCCAGAGGAGGACTTTTTTTTAATTATTATTATTATTATCTAATCTACGCCTAGAGCACTCAGGAGGGCTCTGATATTTCATACATAAATTGATCTCATGAAAGTCTGATTGTGTTCTCCCAGGGGCGGCTCTTCATTAAAAGTTTGAAAAGTCAAAGAGTGAAACTAAAGTCAACCACTTTATGTCTGCAGCACAGCTCTCGCTCAGATGTAATTGTTCCATCTAATTTTTTTTTTGTGCCGTCATGTAAGCCAAACCCGCAACAGTCACATAACAGGCTGAGAAGTTCAAACCACGGTCGGATAACCGCACACGAGCCGATGCGACAGTAAATCACATCGCAGCGGCTTCGACTCTATTTTCAACTGCATTTGGTTAAACAAAACGAACCAGTGAGAAAGCAAACCGTGAACAATGTGCCAAATATAACCACCTAAAAGAGAACAATTAGACATTGTAGCATTTATACCAGGACCGCCTAAATGGCACCTTCATACGCCACCCTGTCATCTGGTTACATACAAAACATTCAAGCGAGAAGGACATTTTTATTTTATGTTTTTTGGAGAATGACTTTCACATGTGTCTGGAGTACTAAATTATCTCAGTCCATTAACAAATGAATTAATTATTACTTCAGCTACTCATAGTAAATTACATAAGTGATTTTTTTATTTTTTTTTTTTAATGGCAGAATAAGACAAGAAATCACCCCATTTCATTCCAGCCACATTAGTCAAACCTGTTAGAAACAGGTCATCGAATCACTGGGCCAAGCTAAATTTGAGAAACCTCATTTGAGTTGAAAGAAATTCTGATGCCAGTGCCGCCTTCGTACTCAACAGCTTTTTTTTTTTTTCCATGAATCCTCTCACGTCACGTTTGCCAATTCGTAGAGCAACCCTACATTAGTGGCAGGTTTCTGCACCTCCACCGTCAGCTTCCAGCCTACTATGGAGAAGAAAACGTCGTCATTGTTTTCAGGGAGTATCGTCAACGAGTGAGAAAACCGGAAGGGGATTGGTTGTTGCTGCAAATCACTGAACCTGACATCCTGGGCGATAATTTACAGCTGCCACAGAACTCTCTGTGGATATATCAAATCTCATCTCATTGTGCTTCATTCCGAAGTTGGATTTATAAGACCCAGTGCGTCTATTGTTAAAAAATAAAAATAAAAATATCCCTGTAAATCATCACTTCCTTTGTTCTCACAGCATATGTAAATCAGAGGAGTGGAGTGTCTCTCCAAGTTGCAGCAATATTTCATGGGAAGCACAGCACCGGCTGACCTTTGTTTTCGGCAAAACTTGATCAAAAAACAATAGATTTATTGGTGAGGAAATCAAGGGTTTCTTTCTTACGCTGCTTGTTGAGATGGTTTCAGCCAGAGGAGTGACATGAGCAAGAGCAACACGGTCACTCACAAACAGCGCTGCCAGCCGATCCAAATTTAATGGTGTTCTGATGTTGCAGTGTAATACCATATCTAAAAACCAAATTTATTTCTTTTTAAACCTGAATGCTGTATTAGATTTGAATGCATGAAACTTTAATGACTCCCATTGGAAGCTAATCAAAAGGAAAACGAGTGTGCTAATTAAGTCACTCATTGGCTCATAAAAGGACTCAAACTCCATTTATTAAACAAAATTTAAACATTTGCACAGACCAAACCTTGAGTGCTGCTCCACACTTGTAAATTACTTTTGATAAAAAAAAGTGTCTGCTAAATGACACAAACCTAGATGGGAATGATCAGTGCTCTAACTCAGTGTAGGCCTGATTGATTCATTATCCGCCGTCTGTTTGTGAGATGAGTTTTCAGTCAATATTCAGACCCACAGGCCCCAACCACATAATGCATCTCATAAAACGTAACACAAGACCGGAGAGTTTGTTTGAGGCAAACAGGCATGGTTAAATAGTAACTCAAGTGTTTCCGGATTACAGACACTGAATTTATCTAACAATTAGAAACTCAGATGAATCCATATTTCATCTAGGGGACTTTGTTCTTTTTTGTGTCGACACTAATCTGCATCATATCTCTACATTTGTTTGTTTGTGTTGTTGTTTTTTTCTTTCTCTATAGAGTTGCCTGTGTGCCTGGGCATAACTGTTTGCAATAACGCCAGCCCCTCAGTGTGTTTGTTTGAATTGTTGCCAGTCTGCAGCTGAATCCCACAATGATGGGCCTTGTGCTGCCCACTCCTATTTTACCCAAGCAAACCCTGCCTGGGCTCCACCATGCTCCGATTCATGTCGTTTTATAAGTCTGCGTTTTGTGCGATTGCACACTGGGGATTTTGATAAAGTTATTTAAGGCTCTCTGTTGTAAAGTTAGATATAAATATCCCAACAATACGCCGCTGCAACGTCTTTTCTTGGACTTATTTGTTCAGTTCCAGTTCATTTACTATAATTTCCCGGTTTATCTTCTCATTACAGAATTTCAATATATTTTAGACCAAAACAATTTATTACACGGTATTATTCAGATGCAGCCATTCTACTCCAGGAAGACGTAATCTGAAACGTGTATTGTTGTTGTGCATCTTTACAGAGATAACATTCCCAACAGTACGCACTAATGCTATTGTTAAAGTGCTCCTTTAACAATGGTGTGCTGATTTGGGAAAATATCTGGCTGTTTAGCTACTGAGTGCACCACAAACTTTTTAACTGTGGTAATGGGTGTTCATAAAGACCCAGCACCATGTTGAAACTGCTGACATTTGAAAAGCCGTACCAAGCTGAGAAAAAAAGTGAATTTAATAGAGATCTCATAAATCTTCTTGATCTCGTAAAATGTAATCCTAAAAAGTCCAAACTTAACAAGTAAAGGGTTACGAACAGGTGAGGCGACATTTTTATATTCTACAAGAGTTGCACTGATGCAGCACTAAAGATACTTTCTCCAAACACTCTACTACTGCTGAAATGAACACTGATATTAAGGTATGCAAACATATGTGCAGACCACACGCATTCTGGATATAAACTGATTAGACTTCTACCTTCAGATCGGCGCTACAGAGCACTATTTTCAAAAACCAGCCGCTACAGACCCAGACTGCCTCTGATGAATGCAATGAACAACCATACAGTCAGAGTAGTCAGCTACTGTGCTGTGAAACAGAATCAGCATGTTTACAATATCACAAGCTGCTTTCCCTCTTTCGTCCTTTTCTTTGTGTAAATACACATACATGCAGTTTCACTTGTTTTTTATGTTTTATTACCTCTAAGATTATATATCATTATGTAAACTCGGAGTTCTTACAAACCCCTTTGTAAATACAATCTGTACCAATGAAGGTGATTATAACAACAATAACGTTAATTTTACTCCTAAGCCGTCAATAAACAGACATTTTTGTACATGAATTTTTAACTTAACTCTAAGAATGATGTTTTTGCAAGGTATTTCGTCAAGAAAAGCAAGGGAAAATGGCAACAGCCGTTACAAACTGCTGGCTAGTGGGACATCAGGCGGCCACATATGATTTGTTTTAACTCTGAAAACTGGTCAAAGACCTCTGGCTTTCCAAGGCAAAACGTCCACTTTATTGCGTCTTCTATCAATTGTCCTGGTTTGGGGCTCAGACATTTTGACTTCCGACTACAAATCGAATGCACCATGAGTTCATGCCAGTTCTCTTTAGTTCTGATCCTCTTCTTCTATAGTGTCCTATTGCTTTAACATCACTTTGTTGGTCTTTCACTGCTGCTAAATACTTCACTGTTCTTCAATGTTAAAGGAAAGAATGGAAAGAATTTCACACCATTGAAGCCATTATTTTGTACCTAGCAACAGCACTTTAAGTGTAATTAAAGCTCACTTATAGGGAAGCAAAGAGAAGACAAAAAACAGAAGGAGCTGGGAAAGTCAGTCTTTCTCTAATGCTTCTTTACCAACACATTATGCAAAGCATATACACACACACACACACAAACCAGTGCACAAACAGCCTCATGTTTATGATTCTACTGCAGTCCCTCAGTTAGTCACCAAAAGGATATTTTTCATGGAAAGCGTGTGTGACTGTGTGCGTTCGATTGCGGTCAACAACTGGAGTCTTGTTCCAGCTGTAATTCTTGCATCTACACACACACGCAAACACACGCACGCACACATACATACACTTAGCGCACAAAAGCAGCTGCATGTAAAACCCCTCTGACAAAATCTACACAAAGGAGACTTGTTA